AGTTTAAAAATATCTATTAAATTACTGTATTATTCCCCCCCCCCCCCCCCCCTTTCTTTTTATAGAAACACTAAATGACAAACAATATCTTAAGCACCACCACTAGTACTAAATTCAGTCAACCTGGCAAATGTGCGTTCATACATGGTTATTCTAATTACTAAAGTTCTATCATCATATAATGCTAAATTATCAAAATATCAGATATTTAACAATAGTCTGGTGAGTAAACAAAAAATTTACTAGCCAATGGTGATCCCATTGGGGGTTGATAATATTTAATAAAATATTTAATTTGATAGGTGTCTCTCACATTGACCCACAGCAACATTAAAGTAGTGTAGATTAATGTACAATGTTTTATAATAATAATTTATTCTATTTAGTGTCCATTTCATTCATTTAACATTGGGCGCATCCAAGTTATGTGACATATATTTAAAGTAACACAATAATTACTTTCTCTGGTAATTAGTTACTTTTATAATGATGTAACTCAGTTACTAACTCAGTTACTATTTGTGAGAAGTAACTAGTAACTATAAATAATTACTTCTTTAAAGTAACATGCCCAACACTGGTGGTGCGTCAGTGATGGTCTGGGGAGGCATATCCATGGAGGGACGTACAGACCTCTACAGGCTAGACAATGGCACCCTGATTGCCATTAGGTATCGGGATGAAAGGCTTGGACCCATATCAGACCCCACGCTGGTGCAGTGTTTCCTGGGTTCCTCCTGGTGCACGACAATGCCTGGCCTCATGTGGCGAGAGTATGCAGGCAGTTCCTGGAGGATGAAGGAAATTGATACCATTGAATGGCCCCCGCGCTCGCCTGACCTAAATCCAATAGAACACCTCTGGGACATTATGTTTTGGTCCATCCGATGCCGCCAGGTTGCACCTCAGACTGTCCAGGAGCTCAGTGGTGCCCTGGTCCATGATCTGGGAGGAAATACCATCCGTCGTCTCAGTAGGAGCATACCCCGATGTTGTCAGGCATGCATAGAAGCACGTGGGGGTCATACAAACTACTGAGTCCCATTTTGAGTTGCTGCAATGAAATTTCAGCAAAATGGGCTAACCTGCTGCATCATCTTTTTTCACTTTGATTTTTGGGGTGTCTGAATTCAGCCCTCTGTAGGTCGATAATTATTAATACAGAATTATTCTGATGATGAGACACAGAATCTGCTTCAAAAGAAAAAAAAAAATAATAATAATAATATATATATATATATATACAGGCCCGGTTTCACAGACGGGGCTTAGTTTAAGCCAGGACTAGGCCTTAGTTAAATTAAGATATTTAAGCTGCTTTTATAAAAATGCCTTAGAAGAAAACGTTACATGTGTGCATCTTCAGACAGAACAATGGAACTGACATTTTTTAAGATATGTCAGAGCAAGATATTTTCATTTGAGACCGCTCAAACATGCATTTTAATCTGGGACTAGCCTTAAGCCATGTCTGTGAAACCGGGGGTAAGTTTACTTAATCACTGACCAGTAAAAGTCAGTTCACCACTTAGCTGCTTTGCCACGGACACTGCATGTTCATTTCATTCAGGTTTCATAACCAGTTTAATCTTCTCTCATATTGTAAACAAATTTAAACTGAAAAACATCTAGTGCAGTTTTAGTTTTATTATCATTGTATTTCAAACAGTAGAGCATGATGCATGTGATTAAACATGTAATTACATGTGGTTCTTCTGTAAGAGTAACCGCTTGATTTCATGTAAACTAAAGTCACATGTTTTGTTCCTTTTTATGTCTCTTAACATAAAAATGTACAGTCTATTTTATTAAATGCAAAACAAATATATATTCTATGTTCAAAATGTGATTCTACATGCATTCAATGCATAATTTCTATTTGTGCTAGTGTGCACAAAATAATGAAAACAAATGAACTCCTCAAAGAAACAAAAAACAACAACAAGACATCTCTTTATTTTACAGCAACACTAGTTTCAAAAACTAATACTATGGCCTTGCCAAAATGTCCTTTGTCAAATATTCAAACTTTACAAATTTTATCAAATGACCCTCTAGAATAAATCACTCTATTGAAACAAATTCCAGCTATTTTTATACAGTATGTTTGGAATATAATTCACTGTATTACTTCTGAACTTATGTTTAACAGTTTTGAAAAGAGTAGCCTATGCAAACGTGCAAATTGATCTGTAATATTTTGGTGGTTTTTGTGTCTGAGAGCGACAAGAGTTTGTGTAATTTCAAAGTAGTCATTGAACGTAATATTGTGCCAAAGCAATGATCCTCAGTTTAGTTAAATAGACCGCTGTTGATCACTGTGTGAAGAGTTTTGAAAAAGTGACTAAAGTATTGAGAAATGGGTTCTAGTGGGAAAAAACAAAAACATCTTGGATATATTGGTTGGATTATAAAAGTATTATTAATACAATGCATGTGTAAGTGGTCCGATTTAGATTTCTCCAAATAAAAATAAAATCACAGTTCACATCAGTTGACTCGTTTCATGAATCACGAACCAGCTGGCTGAAATTAACATAGCGTCATCGAGGAACATCTGTGGCACTGACAAATTATTGTCATAACTTCATATGGAAAATCTGCTTAAAAACACAGCAGTTTAACTTTTATTACAATTTTACTAAACTGTTTGTCAAAATATAAGGTATAACCATACAATGTGTAATCTTAAAACTTCTATTTTAACTGCTACTAGTTAGCATCTGTCAAACACTGCTGAATTGCCAGACGATTCACTTTTCCTGAGCAATTTGATCTTCTCTCAGTGTGTTTTAGAGTCCATATGAGAAGAATCACTTTTGACATATAAATAGAAAAACATCTGGTGCCATTTTTAGGTAAAAGAATGCCCTTAATTTTTTTTTATTGTTTTGTATTTCTCAAATTTTCAAACTTGGATAATTTTTTTTTTAAAGTGATGGATCTGAATGTGACTTAGACAACTTTGGGCAATGCTTTATCTTATGTTTAATTAGAGTAAATGAGCGAGTGAAATCCTTCCCACACGAAGAGCACTGGTACGGCTTTTCTCCAGTGTGAATCCTCTCATGGGTTTTCAAGGTTGATGAATCAGTGAAACTCTTTCCACAGTGTGAGCACTTGTACGGTTTCTCTCCAGTGTGAATCCTCTGGTGTTTTTTTAAGTCACTAGATGTAAGAAAGGTCTTTCCGCAGTCAAAGCACACATGAGGTCGCACACCAGTATGAATAATCTGATGAACTTGTAAACTGTACGGTTGTGTAAAACTCTTTCCACAAAAAGAGCAAAAGTGACGCTTTACACCAGCATGAAGTTTAAGATGTTCTTTTAAGTATGACGCGAAAACAAATGTTTTATCACACTGATCACAGCTGAATGATCTCACTCCAGTGTGAGAGAGCTGATGTTTTTTCAGGACACTTTTAGATTTAAAACTGAATGCACACTGAGTGCATGTGAACGGTCTTTCTCCAGTGTGAATTCTCATGTGCACATTAAGTTCTTGTTTGACAAAGAAACTCTTCCCACACTGAGTGCATGTAAAAGGCCTCTCTCCCGTGTGAAATCTCACGTGTCTCTTAAGGTTTGATGTACGGCTGAAACTCTTCCCACACTGAGTGCATGTGAACGGTCTTTCTCCAGTGTGAATTCTCATGTGCACATTAAGTTCTCCTTTGACAAAGAAACTCTTTCCACACTGAGTGCATGCATAATGCCTCTCTCGAGTATGATATCTCATGTGTCTCTTAAACTTTGATTTCTGACAGAAACTCTTTCCACACAGAGTGCATGTGAACAGACGTTCTCCAGTGTGAATTCTCATGTGCACATTTAGTTCTTCTTTGTCAAAGAAAACCTTTTCACACTGAGTGCATGTTAGTGGCTTCAGTCCAGGGTGAACTTTCATGTGTCTGTTACGGTTTGATTTCTGACTGAAACCTTTTCCACACTCAGTGCATTTATAAGGCTTCTCTCCAGTGTGAGATCTCATGTGTCCATTAAACTCTGATTTCTCACCAAAACTCTTCCCACACTGAGTGCATGTAAAAGGCCTCTCTCCCGTGTGAAATCTCACGTGTCTCTTAAGGTTTGATGTACGGCTGAAACTCTTCCCACACTGAGTGCATGTGAAAGATGCTTTGGCTCCAGTTTTTCCAGCTTGTTTTTGTGTAAAATTTTGTTCAGTCTGTGAAATGACTGCATTTCCATCTTCATTTTTTAAATGACGAGGTTTTTCAAACTGATGCTTGTCTTCCTTCAGTCCCATTGAATCTAAAAATCAGCATATTAATTTCCCATATAATTAGATTATACAAGGACAGATTAGAAACATAAAATATAAATTAACCTTTAGTACAAATCTAGTTTGTCTACTAGTAGATCTCTTTCTCTCTATATATATGTCAGTTTTCATCTAAAGGGTTAGTTCACCCAAAAATGAAAATTAGCCTGTGTTTTACTCACCATCAAAGCATCCAAGGTGTATGTGACTTTCTTCTTTCAGACGAATCCAATCCAATTGTCCTGGCCCCTCTTCAATGGGGGTAAGCGGGTGTTGGTTGTCAACAGTTCAGAAGACGTAAAATAAAGTGTGCACATCTGTAATAAAACGTCCCTCACGTGGCTCCGGGGGGTGAATAAAGGCCTCCTGTCTCCTTTCTTTACAAATCCTCATTTTGTGCTTCTAATTTGTGAACGGCGATTTGTTTTGTTCTCTCTCCGCATTCGTCACGTATCATGCAACGCCGATGTCCTACATTATCCGCCGGAAAGCCTTCAGCGTATGACAGATGGCGGAAGTGATAGAAAAGTGTTTATTACATTTGAAATATGGATATTTTTCTTACGAAAACGCATGGAATTGCTACAGGAGGCCTTTATTCATGCCCCGGAGCCGTGTGAGGAACGTTTTATTACGGATGCGCGTGCTTTATTTCACGTCTTCTGAACTGTTGACAACCAACACCCGCTTACCCCCATTGAAAGACTTGGAGGGGCCTGGACAGTTTTTAATATAACTCCAATTGGATTCATCTGAAAGAAGAAAGTCACATACACCTAGGATGCTTCGAGGGTGAGTAAAACACAGGCTTATTTTCATTTTTGGGTGAACTAACCCTTTAATATTCCTCAGCAGTCATTATAGAGAATGAAGAAAAACACCAACCTGTTTGTTGAATTCTCATGTGCACATTTGGTTCTTCTTTGACAAAGGAACCCATTCCAGACTGAGTGCAAGTATAAGGCTTCTCTCCAGTGTGAGATCGCATGTGCACATTTAGTTCTTCTTTGTCAAAAAAACCCTTTTCACACTGAGTGCATGTATAAGGCTTCTCTCCAGTGTGAACTGTCATGTGTCTGTTACGGTTTGTTTTCTGACTGAAACCCTTCCCACACTGAGTGCATGTATAAGGCTTCTCTCCAGTGTGAACTGTCATGTGTCTGTTACGGTTTGTTTTCTGACTGAAACCCTTCCCACACTGAGTGCATGTATAAGGCTTCTCTCCAGTGTGAACTGTCATGTGTCTATTAAACTTTGATTTCTCACTGAAACTCTTCCCACACTGAGTGCATGTGAAAGATGCTTTGGCTCCAGGTTTTCCAGCTTGTGTTTGTGTGAAATTCTGTTCAGTCTCTGAAATGACTGCATTTCCATCTTCAATTTTAAAATGATGAGGTTTTTCAAACTGATGCTGCTGGTCTTCCTTCAGTCCCATTGAATCTAAAAATCAGCATATTAATTATCCATACATCAATTAAACAAGGACAGATTAGAAACATAAAATATAAATAAATAACCACTTAGTAAAAATCTAGTTTGCCTACTAGTATCTATCTATATATCTAAATATTTTGGGGCTGTCAATCGATTACAATTTTTAATCGAATTAATCGCACCCTTTTTCTGTGATTAAACGCACACTTCATGAAATTAAGCATAGACCATTTATCTTGTTTCAAATGTTTATTTTGTCATAATTTGCTATATCCGGCAAAGTAAACCAAAAGATTGAAGGGTGATTCTCAAAAATCTATATTTTCTGCAAGCTTTTTTCAAGATAAATTTAGATGTCTTTCCAAAAAAGGACACTTAGAAACTCCAAAAGCACAACAAAAAACCAAATGATATAAGGAGCCCATATAAGCACATATGAAAGAAAAAAAAATCAGAATTTTATAGTATGTGTACAGTGCAACAGCAAAGAGCTTTTTTTACATTTTAGAGAAGCCAAGTTGCGATACCGAACAGGACCCTAAGCCGCTGCAATGGAGCAGCTCTAATGCTATTAAATTAAAGATGATGTACCATAGAGCAAAAAAACGAACACTGAAAGTAACAAAAGCTTGTAAAATACATTTTAATGGGCATAATTAAGTGTGAAAATAACCAAAGGATATACAGTCAAACCAAAAATTATTCAGAGACCAGATATAATTTTTTATATTTTTTTACTAGTGGGTGCAGAACACTATAGTTCATTTATGTAAGTGAGGATAACAAAATAAAGTAATCCGTGACATATTATTCCCCAAAATTCTTTATTCAGTGGACTACCAGTAAAATTTATTTTAAAAAATTGGGACCAAAAATTTGATTTGACACTTTGAGCTGACCATGTTTTGTAACATAACTTTCTATCAAAGTTATCTGACATTATCAAGATTAATTTGTTCTGACACAGTTTAGCACTTGAGTTCTTCTCATATTTTATTACATATATAGTAGTCAACATTTGAAGTGGATCAAAAAAGTTGCATATATCTACTACAGTACACGGATCCATTCAGAATAACTAAACACAGCAACATAAACATGACAAATCAAAGCATTATCGTGAATGTGTGTGGAAACAACGTGAATGTACGGTGTGTGAGGGCTCGCGCTCCTCAGAGACAATCACAGAATATGACAGAGCTTATGTTTTAAAGCGAAACACACTGGAACGAATAATTCAGTGAAAATGCAACGTAAGTCTCTGTTCTCTCTGCAATCTCTGATGTAATCAGCCTGGTTTCCTTCATATTAGCGCTGTTTTGGACGGATTGTTTGAACGCATTTGCTCACTGGATCGGAGTTTAGCTGCTTAAAATGATCTGATCGCATGCAGAGAAGCAAAATTGGGTTAAAGGGTTAGAATAGAAATTGTGCTTCAGTAATTTTGCGTTATTTGCTTTAAATTATTTTAACGCATTAAGGATTGTAAAATTAATC